TAGGTAGGTCCCTCTGGGGGGGGGGGGGTAGGTGTCAATCGTGTGCCCAGACCTCAGATCAGTTCTTCTAGGGGAGTAGATGCCCGCTGTGTGCCCAGTCTTGTGATCAGATCTTGCTGCCGGTAGATACCCAGATCACTGAGATCAGATCCTACAAGGGGCAGATGTCCAGTCCTGTGTTCAGATCCTGTAGGAGGGGGGTAAATGCCATATGTGTGCCCAGTATATTGAGATTAGACCCTGCAGAGGGTTTGATACCCAGTCCTCTGTGATCAGATCGCCCACTGTGTGCCCAGTCCGCTGTGATCTGATCCTGCAGATGTGCCCAGATCTTGTAGGGGGGTAAAGGCCAAATGTGTGCCCAGCTCCTGGAGGGGGCAGATGCCCAGTCCCCCGTGATCAGGTCTTGCAGGAGGCAGATGCCCAGTCCTCTGTGATCGGATCCTCTGGGGGGTAGATGTCCAGTCCTGTGCTCATGTGATCAGCGCTGCCAGGCTCGGTGCCCTCCCATCAGCCTGTGTTGTATCTCAGTGCCCAGCCCGGTCCCGGAAATCTCCGGTGCAGTCCGCTCCAGGCAGATGTAGCTTCCCAGGCTCCCCGCTCTATAGCCGGGCAGTGAGGAGCAGCGCAGCTCCGGGCTCAGCAGTGTGCAGTCAGCGCTCAGCAGGTGCAGATAACGGTGCGGGCGGCAGCAGCAGCAGCAGGACGCTGAGCACACAGGGTGGGCGGGGCTCCGGGATCCTCACTTTCTCAATGGAACCTCAAATGTATCAAAGCGGCCGGAGCGCAACATTCCAAACGGGGCGTGGCCCGAGTAGAAAAGCAGGCGTGGACTGAGCGCCCGCCTACTACTCCCCTGCACCCGCATCCACCTCCCCGGCTGACGTCATGACGCACGCAGAATGAACGGGAATAGGGGACTTTCACAATACACGCCCCCGAAGAGGACGTTTGTACGAGTGCCGACCGTGTACAAACTTGTTAGCATGGCTGCAGACGGTGAACAGTAGCTTATGTGTACTGTGCATTAAAAATACTTCATGGAGCTGTAAATCCCAACATGCCTTGTAAAGAAAGGACACTGAATATCATTATTATTATTATTATTATAGTCGATTTACTTATTTCCAGCAATATGGACACTTTTTTAAGAGATATTCCTGACCCATTGCTGTATTTAAAGTGCATGTAAAGCTAAAAAATGTTTCTAGTTTTGTATGGAGCGTTGACAGGTTAGGTCAGGTGTCCCCATTGGGGAGATCCCTCCCTCCCCCCCCCATTTGTCCTGGTGTCACAAAAAAAGAAAGTGACGGAATCCAAAATGTTACAGTTGTCACCAGAATAGGAAAACAGGCGAAATCTTCCAATGAGGGGACACCTGTTCAGGTGACAACTGTCTAAGAGGGGGATTTCCTCTCACTTCCTGCCTCTAATGTCTTTATTACAGGAAGTGAAGGGAAATCTCCACAATGGGACACAGCTAAGAAAAAATGGGCAGTACCCACCCCATCCACTCTACAGCCACTGTCTGTCTACATGCATTCCAGCGATGGCTGCATGGCATTTCTCAGGATGAGTTTACTAATGGTGACAACGGTGGATCATGTCTATGTAATGTGTGTTGATATTAACACTTGTAGTCTCCTTTGGAAGCCCATGTGACAGGGTGACAACAGAGGTAAATAGTTAGGAGACAGGGGCAGAGCATTGCCACCCCATAACAGGAAGTGCATGAACAAGGACAGAGTATTATCACCCTATAACAAGAAGTGCCTGAACAAGCACAGGACGTAGTCATACTATATACAGGAAGTGCCTGAACAAGGACTGAGTGGTGTCACCCTATAACAGGAAGTGCATGAACAAGGACAGAGTATTATCACCCTATAACAAGAAGTGCCTGAACAAGCACAGGACGTAGTCATACTATAACAGAAAGTGCTTGAACAAGGACTGAGCGTTGTCACCCTATAACAGGAAGTACATGAACAAGCACAGGATGTTGTTCCCCTATAACAGGAAGTGCCACTGGCACTAACAAGAAGTTTTTGAACAAGGACAGAGCGTAGTCACCCTATAAGAGGAAGTGCATGAACAAGCACAAGACATAGTCACCCTATAACAGGAAGTGCCACTGGGACTCTGTCCAGCTGTGTAAAGCTGACGGTTGGATAAAGAGATGCGCTAAGGGCTTGTTCACACCAAATGCAGACCAGATCTGCATGAGTTTCTGCACATGCAGTGCAGTGTGTTTTGCCGCATTTTTGGCGCATTCCGGGAAGTGGTTTTTTTTTTCTAAAATGGGCTTTCAGTGCGTTCCAGGCTGTTGCATGCGTTTTTGATGCGTTCCAGAGCAGGTAAAATAGGGCTTGCTGCAGTTTTTTTACATGCTCTGGAACGGAACGCTGCGGTGTGAACTAGAGCCCAAAATCCCATTGTAATACATTGGACGCAGTTTTGATCAGTTCTGTAACTGCTCGGCTCTGCGCTTGGTGTGAACAAGCCCTAATACCGTGCAATGTAAAAATCTGCAGCTGCTGCCATTTTATTCCACGGGGTCCGTGCTTCCAGGAAAGATAGAACACTCGGGGGTTTTAAAGTAGTATTAAGGTCTGGGCATTTTTTACCTTAAGGGCCCATTCACACCAGTTGCAGTGCGTTCCGGACAGATTCTGGCCGAAACGCACTGCCTCGTATTGCGGCCGGCTCACTTTTTAGTGGGGCAGGAGGGGGCGTGGCGAGCCATTTAAGTGAATGGCACCGTAGCCACCCCCTCCGGCCACATTGTGCCTGCGGTCTGGTCCGGTCAAAATGCTGCAAGCACTATTTTGAACGGACCGCAGGCACAATGTGCCCTGAGATCCCATGTGGTCGATCGCATTGCGGCCAGAGTGCGTGGCTACTGTGCTATTCACTTCAAAGGCCTGCCACGCCCCCTCCTGCCCCACTAAAAAGTGAGCCGGCAGTGCGTTCCGGCCAGAATCGGGCCGGAATGCACTGCAACTGGTGTTAACGGGCACTAATGCATTCTCTGCATTAGTGCTGCGCCCGTCCCGCCGCCGGTCCCAAAGCGATCCTCTGTCCTATGGACGCACACAGCCACTGCGGAAACAAGCGAGCAAGGGTGCCTCCACTAGAACGATGGTGGCACCGGTGCAGGGAGTGGGGGGAAAAGCGCTGCGGGGAGCCACTAGAAAAACAAGGAAATAGAAACTTTTAAAGAAAAGAGCGACAGCCTCTAGAAAAGGAGAAACGAATAAAAAAAATAGGCTTTAATATCACTTTAACTCATGTGCGAGCCTAAAAATGTGCATTATAACATGTGTGCAAAAAACCCCCCCAGCATTGGCAGCGAAAGGGTTAAATGACACTTATCCTGCGACAAAACTGTTTCAACATTTTAGGTGACAATGTTTCTGTTAATTCGCGTGAAGTCAAATTGCCCCATCAAGACTCCTCTGCAAAGTGAACTGTCTGAGCCCCCAACTATGAAATATATATATATCGTACTGTATATACCCAGCCCCCATACTGTATGTACCCAGCCCCCATACTGTATATACCCAGCCCCCATACTATATATACCCAGCCCCCATACTGTATGTACCCAGCCCCCATACTGTATATACCCAGCCCCCATACTATATATACCCAGCCCCCATACTGTATGTACCCAGCCCCCATACTGTATATACCCAGCCCCCATACTATATATACCCAGCCCCCATACTGTATGTACCCAGCCCCCATACTGTATATACCCAGCCCCCATACTATATATACCCAGCCCCCATACTGTATGTACCCAGCCCCCATACTGTATATACCCAGCCCCCATACTATATATACCCAGCCCCCATACTGTATGTACCCAGCCCCCATACTGTATATACCCAGCCCCCATACTATATATACCCAGCCCCCATACTGTATGTACCCAGCCCCCATACTGTATATACCCAGCCCCCATACTATATATACCCAGCCCCCATACTGTATGTACCCAGCCCCCATACTGTATATACCCAGCCCCCATACTATATATACCCAGCCCCCATACTGTATGTACCCAGCCCCCATACTGTATATACCCAGCCCCCATACTATATATACCCAGCCCCCATACTGTATGTACCCAGCCCCCATACTGTATATACCCAGCCCCCATACTATATATACCCAGCCCCCATACTGTATGTACCCAGCCCCCATACTGTATATACCCAGCCCCCATACTATATATACCCAGCCCCCATACTGTATGTACCCAGCCCCCATACTGTATATACCCAGCCCCCATACTATATATACCCAGCCCCCATACTGTATGTACCCA